GAATAAGATCATGAAAAAAATAGAACTGTCAGGGCTATAGTTCTCATTGTGTGGGTACAGTACACTGAATTCTGATTACTAGTCTAAAACCTATTGCTATACCTTGAAGGAAGTGCAGAGAAGGACTTGCTTTTTTTCTGATGCTGTTGAAATTTGAAAGGAACTAAGTGCAACCTTGAAAACAGAAATAAGTGGTGATAGAGTTCCAGCTTATTTTCTGCCACTATTCTCAATACCTGAATTGACTCAAAAAGGGCTTGGGGGGTTCATGAGATTTGATCTAAGATACGGCACTAAAACAATTGTTAATCAACAAAGCAAATTTTGATCTTAGGTAGTGTTTCACTACAGCAGCTCAGCTAAACAAGCAAAATTCTTCCCATTTTCTACCTTATTGATAAACAGCTGAGAAGTGTTGATAAATCTATAAAGCAAAGTAAAATCAGCAGAGACTTCACTAATACATGTCTGAGCATTTCTAGGTGAAATTATGCCTCTAGTAGCAAAGTAAAGGCTTCTGCTTTTGGTAAACTACATTTATATTGTATAATCTAGTGTGTTGGCTAAATATAAGCATTACTACATGTAGTTCAATTCCTGCTTCCTAATTGGACATAGGTGTTAATTATGCTGGTTAAACTCTCCAGTTTCTTTTTTTGGTTGGCTGGATCTGGTCGTCCTCTCCTGACTTCTGAATTCAGTAGATTTATTCCATGGCAGTCCTCTTCTTTAGTGGATCTTTACACCCCCTTCCCATGTTCATGTTGATTTCAAGTCTTACCCTGGGCTCTCCTGGAAACAATAAACCTTCAACAGCCAACACTGCCTAGAATTTGTGTTGGTCTACCAGCCATTACTTTTCCATCTCCCCTTTTTCCCAGGAGATTTTTCTTTAAATCTTTATCTTCTTCCTCCTTTTGCCAGTTGGCAGTAGTCCTCCCTTTCTTTAGGAAAGTTATGAAATCATATGTTACATGCTTACTCTCACGTCTGAGAAAGAACAATATATTTGGCTGGAACAACATATGTGAGGATAGCGGAGAGCCCTGGGCAACTGCATGCTGTCAATCATCTCTTAACTGCTGAAAAAGAGAATTTTCTATAACATGGGCATTCAGCAATCATGATTTCATAATAACATTAAAATGTTTTAGGGAGAAGAGGGATTTATTCAAGAAATCTAAGTTTATTTTTCATGTTTTAAAGAAAATCACACCAGTGAGTTGCTGGAGCTCTCATTAAATACTTGGATTCAAATACAATTTAAGTAATAATTTGTTTTTTAACCGCGGTAGTTACTTCTGCTGCTGTAGAAACCGTATTTCTTCTTTTGGACTATGAATTCAATATTGGGGAATTTGGAAACTGAAAAAGCGGGCAAGCTTATTTTTCTGTTTTAGATTCTGAATGAAGAGGAAGACAGGAAACAATATCTGCATCCAGTATTTAGATTTTTTTTTGATTTGCCATTTTAATTGTTCTTTTTATTAATAAATGAAACAGTTAAAATGCATGTTCTTTATTTTTTGTTAACAATCTATTTTAACTGCTTGCTGAAGAAAAGTAGAATACATATTAGTACAATTTCAGAGTTCTAACATATAATAGCAAAAGTATCCTGCAAACATCCAGAACAATTAATTGGACCTGGTTTAGTTCCTAACAACTTCACAAAAGTATATCTGCTTTGTAGTGTCATTTAATTTTTTTAAATAAAAATTAATCTGAAAAAAGTCTGACCCATATTTGCTGTATAATGCAAGTACTTCTAAAAATGAAATCTCTCTCTTTCTCTCTGTACTAGAGGTTATATCAGACAATAAAAATGCATTTTACTACAAATGATTATAGATTCTTCC